AAAAAAAAGTGAACAACTGATTTACACCAAAAAGAAGCATCCTTTGTACTATACTTATTTGAGATAACTATTAAATTCTAATTCTTCTATGAACAGCAAGTATTCTGTGCCTATTTTTGAAGTTATTGCCTCAATATTTTAAAAGTCAAAGGGTCCACAAATAAGTTGCTAATGAGTAGACATAGTCCAAATTATTTTTTGAAAACTGACAGAACTTTGTGTATGATGTCCATTTTCTTAACCTAGTATTTCAGGATCTAAGCTTCTATATGTCCCCAAGAATCTCAATTTATATATGAATATATCATCATCATCATCATCATCATCATCCTCATTGCACAGAATATTTTTTCCAGTTTATTGTCTGGCACAATAAGGAGAGTTTAACCCCCAACAGTCAAAGTAGAGCTACTCAATTGTAATATTGGAGTTTTTTGTTTTGTTTGGTGTGTTTTTTTTTTACTAGCAGTTTAGTTGAATTCTTGAGAAACAATGATTCTGCCAGAACTAATTGTATTCTTTTTTGTCAATATACAATAAAGTTACAGTATAAGAATGATACCTTATATTAATCCTCTAATCTCATATTTTCATTCCAAATATCTATGTTCCAAATGCAATTGAATTCCATCAATAAAAGTAAAAGCAGTAGCTAAGAAAAATGCTATCAGAATTCTCCTGAAATGTAGTGCTTAATGGATTTTCACTAATGGAATGCTTACATAGAATATTTCCTTTTTCTGAATAAGATACTTAGGTTTACTGTTAAAGAACCAATTTACTCAAAAAAGTTTCTGTTAAGGATACTGGAACTATAACTTAAATAATCTCTTTGGGCTATTTGGCCAATCCTCATTTATTTTATTTCTGCAACTGAGAAGACTATCTAAAGAAGATGAACAGGGCAGTTTAGATAAAGGAGGTTTCTATTATTCTCATTATTGTTATAGAAGTAAAGGGAGTTTAAAAGACTAAAGTGCTTTCAGTTATGCAAAGTTTTGAGTGTGAAATATCTAGACCACTTCTGAGAATTCAGTTTGGTAGTCACTCATTTTTGTACAGGTCATGAAGTTGGTATCTTTGCAAATGCTAACACTAATTTATCGTTAATTAGGTGAGGTCTTTGCCTACCAAACCATCTTTATTTTCTTTTTAGTTGACCAGTCTATTAAACTATAGGGTTATGCTTTTAGACTTTCAACTCTGAATACAGAGATTATAAATATATTTATGTATGTATACATAAACACATGTATGTGTATACACACACACATGTATATATACATATATATATACAGAGAAAAAAAGAGAGAGATCTGTAACTATGTCTATTCACTTTTATATCCCTAACACCTAGTACATTATTTTGAACAGAATGAGCATTTAATGTTTGATTAATTAATTAATCAGTGAACAGTGGATTTTTTCTCCTGGAAACACAGTATCCAAAGAGACAAGTCTGACAACTTCTTCAAGTTCTAGGCCAAGACAGATCAGTTCAAAAGTATCTTAACAGATAGGTTTTTGGAATTCCACTTGGAGTATATAATCTGACGATTTCCACATGGTAATGCACTGTCAATTACCCTCTCCCCACTACATATAATTAAATTTTAAAATCTAATTTTTTTTTAATCTCAAACACTTCACAAAATCATGATAGGCATGAGAAGATAAAAACTAATGCAATTTAAAAAAAACATTAAAATTCGTAAGTTTCTCCATATGTATTAATTTTTTTACCATCAAAAATACATTCAACCTTAGATAGTAATTTCCCCTCATTGAAGTACTATACATATTATATTTTAGATCAAATTCCTAATTTTAATGTTGATCAAAATGAGTATTTCATTTGCAACTTGCTCAAGGTCACATAAGTCACAAGAGTGAGAATCAGTATTTGAATCTAGGATCATAAGATCTGAGATTCTATTGGCTCCTAAGTCAATACACTTTCAAACACTGCACCATTAACTCATTCTGTTTGAATAGGAAATCAATTTTTCCTACTTAGTTACATACTTGCTCTACAAGGAACAATTGTTTCATTCCTAGTTTTATTTTTTTATGAAGTGCTTTTAAAATTAAGAAGCACATATTAAATATTTAGCCGTAGATAATACTTGAGATTTTAAGGATCAGTGAGCTTACCACATTTGGGAATTTTGAATGCACTAAATTATTTTTGGATTAGTAAAGCCTAAAACACTTTCATCATGAGTTGCTTCCTTTAATTTTAAGCTCCATGTGTATTTTAAGGCAATGTAATTGTTATGTTTAAATTTATTTCTACTTAAATGTTTTATAAGAGGTATATTACTTAAAAATACTACTTAATTATTTTTAAGGTAGAATGGGTAGGATTTCATTAAGAGAAGTGAGGGAAGACATATGCCACACAGCAAGTGTGAGATAAACAGGGGCAGCTAGGTGGCACAGTGGATAGAGCACTGGCCCTGGATTCAGGAAGACCTGAGTTCAAGTCTGGCCTCAGACACATAACACTTACTAGCTGTGTGATCCTGGGCAAGTCACTTAACCCCATTGCCTAGTAAAAAAAAAAAGAAAAAAGAAAAAAAAGAAAGATAAACAAAGGCAGATAGGTAAGAAAAAGCAGGGTACTTGGGGGCAACAAAGAATAATCTAGTTTGACTTAAGAAAGTGGAATACGGAAAAGTTTTCTTTAGGAAAATGATAACAATATCAATTTTTTTTTTTGCAGTCTGCTAAATGTCAGATGCTTTTCTATGTACTGTGGATCCAAATTTAAAAAAAAATGAAATAATGTCTACTTTAACAGAGTTTACATTCTCTTGGAGAAGACTGCACATACACATATAAGAGTATAAAGAATATATACAAAGTAAATACAAAATAAATATATTCAATCAACTGGCATTTATTAAGATTAAGTTAGATATAAGGTAATTAGGGAGAGATGGTACTAGCAGGTGATGGATCAGGAAAGGCTTCATTTGAAAGATGGTACTTGAGTTGTATCTTGGAGGAGGCTGACAAGGACAGAAAAAGATTATGGTAGTGCTGAAATGCAAAGCAAAGAAGGTTGAGCTATGCTTGGAAAGAAACAGAGATCTACTGAAGATTTTTTTTAAATGAAAAAGCAGAAAAGACACCCCTTCAATATTTTTTTGTAGCAGCATAAATGATAAATAGGAAAATAGAAATAATGAAGGCAGGAACATTATTTCCAGGCTATTATAACAGTCCATGTAGTTGATAGAGGCCTGGTGGTAGTAGGGGTAGAAAAGAGGGAAAATGTTATAGAGGTAGAATTATCAGAAATGGATAAAGGTTTAGCTTAAGAGGTAGAGAAGAAAAGAAAACATAGAGAGGCTAAGAGAGTGTTGGTTTCACAGACAAATGGTGAAATCAGGAGAAGGAAAAGGTTTGGAGGAAAATTCTAATAAGCCAGTTTTAGGTATATTGAGTTTATTCTAACATGCTGATTTAACACTATCATCACTGATAATAAATAGCTGATTACAGCTTTAATTACTTAATCTTACAACACTCCTATGGTTTAGATAGTACAAGTTTGATCTCCATTTTAGAGATGAGATGATTTATCAATGATTTGCTAACCACTGACTATATAGCTAGAGATTTTAAGAGGCAGAATTTGAATCCAGGTGTTCCTAATTTCAAATCTTCTAGTACAGTACAAAGATGAAAATGTCCTGAAAGCAGTTAGAAATGTTCAGTCTAAAGCTTAGAAGAGGGATCAGGATTACAGATATAGTTCGGGGAATTAACTGGGTACAGTTTGTAGTTGAAACTTTGGGAATGAATGAGTTTTCCCAGGAAAAGAGTGTATGCATGTGTGCGTGTGTGTGTGTGTGTGTGTGTGTGTGTGTATGTCAGAGAGACAGAGAGACACAGACAGAGAGAGATAGAGAGAGACATAGAGAGAGAGAGACAGAGAGAGAGATAGAGAGAGAGAGAACAAACAGAACTTGGAGGAAGATTTCCCTGTAAGGGGTAGGAAAGATGATTTAGCCCTAGGCTACATGTTGTTAATAGCAAGTCAGACATTTATGATTACTGTCCCATTTGAGTTTAATATCTAAGAATTTTCTGTTTTGCTATCTAAGCTTTTCTACTAGCAATCTGTGCTAACTCTCATACATGCAGTTGTTTTGTTTTACCCAAACTGTCAAGGAAAATTATAAACAGACCTGTGTGAGGTTTCCTGCATCATATAAGCCTAAGAAGATGAGTGCTACACAAAAACAGGAAAGAATTATCACTCTTGTTTCCAGAAATGACCATGACTTGATGATGGTTTGTAATAGAGCATTTATGAAATGTCTTGACCAGATAAGCTTTGTGATCACATAATCATATGTTTATCACTTTACAATTCACATTTTCTAACAAGATACTAAGATCTAAGTCCCACAATTACTGATTAATGGGCTAAGGCCAGACTAGAGCCAAGTCCTCCTTATTCTGAGCCTTAGAATATTCTATTGCCCAATGTAATATGCTGAAATCCCATGGGTATCACATTACAGTAAAAGGGTCTCTAACATGATATCAAGATCCAAGTCACAAAGCTGGTAAATATCACATCAGAAATAAAAAGCTCTAACAAAATACAAAGATGAATCACTAGTTGATAAAGGGGCTGAGTCCAAGCTAGAACCACGTCTTCTTATTTTGTGCCCCAAAATACTATAGTGTCTAGAATAGTTGAATAAAAATCCCTTAACCTCCAAATAACTAAAGACTAGTTTCTATACACTGCCTTAACCCATTACTCAACAAACATACACATTAAATACTGACTACACATGTTTAGTACATAAATGCAGCAGCTCTTGAAGGATTTCAACTCAGAAATCATTTTTAATGAATGATCATGCCTTCAGAGACACCATTAACAATCTTTAGAGTATAGTATCTTAGTTCATCAATATCGAATCTTATGGCATCTTATGACAATCTTATGGCAAACCTTTAAGGCAGTGACTCACCCAGATATTCCCATCTTGATGATATGGTTTCCAGTTCCTTCCTGTATCACTGTAGAGCATTCGGTACTGGGTCACCCAGTCAGAGCTGCTATATCTGCCTTGGGTTGCAATGGCACTGATCTGCTTCCTATTGCCAAAATCAACCTGCAGCCATTGGTAATGATCACTGTCTGATGGAGACCATCCTCCAGCTCCTGTGTGGAGATAGGTATATAGAAACAGTGAGATCTTTAAACATCAAGCCTTTTAAATTGAGGATATAATTTTTAAATATCTAAATTGACTTTGACAATGTTATATTCGCAACATAAAATGCCCTTTATATATGCTTTTGGGAACTCAAATAATAGTCTTCCAGTTGGATCACAGTCTTACTTTAACCTCTTTATGATATAATTATTCAGTGTAATGGGTTTCCTTCCTAATGAACAAATGTCTTCCTAATTCCTTAATTAGAGCTTATTAGTATATGTCAAGTTCTAATTGACTGAGGGTTGACCAAGTTACCATGAATTCTTCTGTTATAATCATTGATATGGGGAAAGTACATAATAATCTACAAAATCATTTTGCCTTTAGGTAGAGCTTCATATTTAAAACTGCAAATTCAAATTAAGCATGAGAAAACTATAGTTACAGTTCTAAAATTTCTCTCTCTTCTTGTCTGGAATTTTGTCACAGAAAACAAATAATATTAGTGAAGTTAAGAAGAGAAAGAATTCCAATTTTTGAAGAATGGTTACTTGTGTTTCCCAATATATATGAGTTGTCAAGAAGTATAATTAACTGGTACTTCATAAATGGATTGTCACCTTTTATGAGACTATGATTTAATTTGATATCAATATTTCATGTACAGTCCTTTCTAGAACTCAATGATGTTGAACTATTCTTAATATACTGTAATAATGATATAAGAATAAAGGAGTTTTTATTATACCCAAGGACAATACAACTAGAAAATAACAGCAGTTAGTTGCCCTTCAGATTATAAAAAAGGTTCTGTGATCGTGTCAGTGCTAAAAAAGTAGTATCATTGAGCACTGTCATTTTAGTTATTCATGTGAGAAAACAAATATTAAATAAAATTTCAATAAGCTATTCAACACAGCACTTGTCAAGATATTATAAAATAAAGTCTTTAAGAGATTATAATTGTTATCAGGATTTTATTCTAACATAATATGATTAAAGTTTCTGAAAATTAGGGCCACAATATTAAACATGTATGGCATTCGTATATCATACATGCATATGATATGTATGTGTGTATATAAACATACATACACATATACATACATGTATATATGTGCATATATACATATACATGTAGAGAGAGAGAGAAAAAGTCTCAAGTTTAATTTTTTTTAATGTGAGAAGGACCCACATTATTTTGATCAATAACCGAAAAAACTTCTAATCCTTATCCATTCTTATTACTTAGAATTTCCTTCTTGTTCATTCCTTTGCTAACTGAACTTCACTGCTCCTTGATTTTTCCCTTTGAAGTTAATCTTATTTCCTGACCTGAAGTACTTATGGACTCTATTAATGTCTATTTGTAACTCTCCCTTCACACGATAAATGAAAACAAAAACAACAAAACTCCAAAATCTACATAGATTAAGTGAACCATTTTCTCCCTTATCATAAAACTCATTTTCAACTCAAACCTCTTTCAACTTTTCCTAGGTCTATGTTTTTTGGTTTTTTTTTTTTGCTTTTTTTCCTTCACTGTTGTCATGGTAGTCTTTTAACTACCAGATAAGTGCTTGAAATAAATTATTAACTCTATTAAATATCTCCATAGAATTCTGGGAAACTGGCTTGCCCAGTGGAACGAGACCTATTTCTCCTTATCCTTTCTTCATCTCCATTGTACTTCATTTTCCTGAAACTGTGTAACTGGATGCGTGCTTTTATTGTGCTCTCTTTTTACATAATCATCATTTAATGGATGTTTGTTACTAAATGATAAATTTCTAATGAAAACAGAGCCTTAAAATTGTAGAATACCTTAATAGTCATCAAGTTTAATGTCCTACACATTAGGAATTTCTTCCTACATCATGTCCAATAAGTAAATCTAGACTTTTCTTAAATACCTCCAGGGAAAGGGAGACTTGCTTCTTCACAAGGTAGACAGTTGTAATTTTCAATTTATTCCTTTTGCTGGGCCAAAAATCTGTCCTCTCCCAAGAGTAAACCAAGTAAGTGTCTTGACCATCCTGACTGAATTCCTCTAAACAAGGCTCCAGTTTATCTCTTAAAATGTAGCCCTCAAAACCCAAAAGCAAATTATATATACTATCTGGCTAGCACAGAGAACAAGGCTGTTGTTTACTTTTTTAAAAATTTTATTTATTTATTTATTAGGATTCTTTAAAACAGGAGTTCTGCTTCTAGGAGCCAAGATGGCAGAGCAAGAAGTAAGTTGCTCTCACCCCACCCTCATTGACCTATGAAAGTTCAGAAAATATCAACCAGGAAAAACCCTGAGCTAGCAAAAAGTCAAAGCACAGAAGTCTTGTAGCCCAGGAAGCTTGGGGGATCAAAGGGAAAGGCCTCTCTTGCTGGGGCAGGGGCAGGGCAAAGGAGTGGTACAGGACTGGAAATGTCCCAGCAAGCCAGCCACAAGTCCCACCTCAGCATACCAAGGAGAGATCCTGAGACCCAGGTTGGTGGAGAAGGCAAGTGCCAACACCAGGACCCCATGAGAGCCTCAATATAGGCAGGGGAACTGGTAGATATCAGCTTAGAAAACCACCACAGGCAACATCATTCTCCAGCAGCAAAATCACTCGGTACCTCAACACAACTCTGGGAAGCACAACTCCAGAAGGCAAAGCTGCAGGCTGACAGACATCCACTGGCAATGAAATATCCCCATACAAGGCCCAGGTGAGCAGGAAATGAAGCTTGGGTAAGTACCCCCTTTGCTCCAGCAGGAGAACTCAACATTTTTTTTAAAGTCAGGAAATAGGCAAACACCATGAACAAAAAGCAGAAACAGGAAATGATCATAGATTCTTATTTTGGGGAATGGGAGGATCAAGGCACAAATTTAGAATAGGACAATATTTACAATATAACCACATCCAAACCTCAAAGGAGAATGTGAATTGGTCTCCAACCCAAAAAGACTTCTTGGAAGATCTCAAGAAGGATTTTAAAAGTCAAATAAGAGAGGTAGAAGAAAAATTGGGAAAAGAAATGAGAGATATACAAGAAAGAGTCAATAGCTTGGAAAAGGAAGGACAAAAATTAACTGTAGAAAACAAGTCCTTAAAAAATAGAATTGGCCAAATGGAAAAGGAGGCACAAAAACTCACTGAAGAGAAGAACTCCTTAAAAAATAGAATGGGTACAAAATCTAATAGAAAAAAAAACAAATCTTTAAAAATTAGAATGGGGCAAGTGGAAGCTAATGACTCTATAAGAGAGCAAGAATCAATCAAACAGAAACAAAAGAATGAAAAGATAGAAAAAAAACATAAAATACCTCATTGGTAAAACAACTGACCTGGAAAATAGATCCAGGATAGACAATTTAAAAATCATTGATCTACGTGAAAACCATGAGAAAAAAAAGAGCCTGGACAACATCCTTCAGAAAATCATAAAGAAATAAAAATAAAAATAAAAATAAAAACTGCTCTGAGTTCCTGGAATGAGAGGGTAAATTAGTCATTGAAATAATCCACCAATCACCTCCTGAAAGAGATCCGAAATTGAAAATGCCAAAGAATATTTTAGCTAAATTCTAAAATTATCAGATCAAAGAGAAAATGCTACAAGCAGCCAGAAAGCAACAATTTAAATATCATGGAACCACAGTCAAGATTATGCAGGTCCTTGCAGGTTCTACATTAAAAGATGAGGGCATGGAATGCAATATTCCATAAGGCAAAGGAACTTCGATTACAACCAAGGATCAACTACACAGCAAAACTGAGCATAATCTTTCAGGAAAGGAAATGGATATTCAATGAAATAAGAGACTTCCAAACCTTCCTGATGAAAAGACCAGAGCTCAACAGAAAATTTGGCCTTCAAATACAAGAAGATTAACAGAAGAGGAAATTTAATACTTAAACAACTCCATTTCAGAAAAAGAAATCAAATAAGCCATAAATGAACCCCTTGAGAAAAAACCTCCAGGGCCAGTTGGATTTACAAGTGAATTCTATCAAACATTTAAGGAACAATTAAAGCCAATACTATATAAACTATTTGGAAAAATAGGTGAAGGAGTCCTACCAAATTCTTTTTGTGATACAAATATGGTGTTGATGCCAAAACCAGGAAGAGCTAAAACATAGAAAGAGAATTATAGACCAATTTCCCTAATCAATATAGATGCAAAAATTTAAATACAATATTAACAAAGAGATTATAACAACTAATCTTGAGGATAATACACTATGACTAGGTGGGATTTATACCAGGACTACGGAACTGGTTCAATATTGGGAAAATTATCAGCATAATTGACCATATCAACAACAAAACTCACAGAAATCATATGATTATCTCAATAGATGCAGAAAAAGTATTTGACAAAATATAACACTTATTCCTATTGAAAACACTAGAGGGCGTAGTAATACATAGAGTGTTCCTTAAATGATATATAACATCTATCAAAAACCATCAACAAGCATTATTTGTAATGGGTATAAGCTAGAAACATTTCCCATAAGATCAGGGGTGAAACAAGGATGTACATTGTCACAAACATTATTAAATATTGTTCTAGGAATGTTAGCTATAACAATTAGAGGGGGAAAAAAGAAATTGAAAGAATTAGTATAGGCAAAGAAGAACAAAGCTATCACTCTTTGCAGATGATATGATAGCTTATTTAGAGAATCCTACAGAATCAAGTAAAAATTTACTTGAAATAATAAACAAATTTAGGAAAATTGTGGGATATAAAGTAAACCTACATAAATCATCAGCATTTCCATATATTGCTAACAAAGTCCAGCAGCAAGAGATAGAAAGAGAAATTTCATTTAAAATTACTGTAGACATTATAAACTATTTGGGAATCTACCCACCAAAACAAACTCAGGAACTATACTAACACAATTACAAAATGCTTTTCACACAAATAAAGTCAGATCTAAATAATTGGAAAATATGAGCTGCTCATGAGTAGGCTGAACTAATATAATAAAAATTACAATTA